ATACGAACGACTGCAACCGGGAGTAAGGACTGCAGACGTAGGAGGAGGAGGAGGCGACAGCCAGGAGACCGACTCCAACCCTTCAAGAGGTTGTGGAGGAGCACGGAGCCTGCAGAGAGAAGCAGTACAGAGAAGACGCGTTTTTGGGTGTTGGTTGAGGTCCTGGGAAGAGCATCAGTGTGTGTGGGGGTGTTCCCTACAGCAAGTCGTGAGCCGGGACCAAGAGCTTCAATTAAACCCTCAACAGAGGACGAGTCCACATCATTTATGGTGGAAGTAGGTAATTCAGTTTTCCCTCCCATTCCCCTTTAGTTAGCGATTAGCCAGAGTATCTGCTATGTCGTGAGCAGGGCTCACCAATGTCTATGTTTCTAGTAAGACAGAGTTGTGAAGGGAGATGCTATAGAGCTCTCATGAGATATATATATGATGTGTGATTGCACCTGTGGTTTGATGAAGAGATTACTGTGACGAGGACATTTATATTTACATGTCATTTATATTATAAGTTCGTGCCAGAGGTTATATATATAAATATACAATTTAATAGTGTAAGGCTGTGTGCCTAGAGTTACCTCGTTATTATAAATATTGATTAAGTGAACTATATATACTGGAGTTATTAAATAGTATATTCATATGTCTAGAGGTTAACTGTGATTATGCCAGTGTTGTGATATACTGTGAATACGAGGGAATAATAGGCGCCTCACGCCAATAGTGTGAGTATAGTGAGGAAGTGAGCAGTGTGAGGAACAGTGAGGAGTGTGAGTGGGCGTGGCATCTCGCGAGTTGCCAAACGTTCGATAACACTGCATGTGGAGCGTGGGAACGCACGTCAACTGGGAGTGTTGCCTTTCCCGGAGTGTTCCAGAATTGTGAAGAAGCAGAGAGAAGGCTGCTCATTTATTTCTTTGCCATGTTGTTGATGCAGAGTTATGATTCTTTGATCTTTTAAGTAAACTACAAAACCACCGCCGTGTTTGTATCAACCCTCCATTACCTTGTTGCTATTGAGACTATCTAAGAGTGAGTGATTTAAACATATACTTACCTGTTACCAAATTGATTAGTATTCCCTGGGGCCACTACTATATTACTACTATTCCACTGAGGTGTTACTGAACACAGTAAACACCAGTTGGCGACCTATAGTGAGCGGTAGAGCCCTCTGTCGCAACGGGCACATGATCAAGTGAAGTGATCGTGTTCTCACTCGTCTTTAGGCTACGAGGCCAGCTGGAGACAGACTGAGAGACTCTCCTGGTGAACAGTGGCACCGTGAGGATCGAGTGCAGACCCGTGGGGGCTACCGTAAGTAACGTTTATCACTACTAATACTTGGTGGTGACTGGCTAGAGAAAGAGACACCCCGACAGTGTGCACATGTGTATGTGCATATGCACATGTGTGTAACATACCTTGTGTGTATGTGTATATGTATGTGTAGGTGTATATACATAATATGTATGTATATATGTGTATGTATACTTTTTCTTTCGGAAGGGGCTCTGTTCCCTTTTCTGTTGATGGGGCGCTGGGGGAGCAGCTTGCTCTGCTGACTCTCGCATGGTCTCGCAGTTAGTGGGCGCTTTTGGTTGTCTTCCGGCCTCTGGTGGCGACGGTGGACGGCTTCTTCCCCTTTGGGGGGTTTAGGGCTGGCGGGGTGGGCTTCTTTCCCTGCGCTTCGTTGTGTCATCTTCGTGGGTACATTGGACGTGGTCGATCCGCCCCGTCCTTCTGGGGTTCCCATCTACTCTATGCCGACATGGGCCTGTCGAATCTTCGGTTCTTCTGGACTTCTTCAGTCTGCGCCCTGGATTCTATGCCCTCATCGGAGGGCAGTTGTCTCCTGTCCGGCTTCTGTTCGGGCCGGGTGTCTGGATGGTGGCCCTGGACCTCCAGGTCATTTCTTGGCACGTTCCTCTCCAGTTTTCCGGGACTGGCACAGTTGGTGGTGGGGCGTCAGACTTACCGCTTTTGTTGCCTTCCCTATTTTGTCTTGGTGTATTTACTCATCTTTACCGGATCTTGGTGCCCTGTCCGAGTCTGCTTGGGATTCGGTGTCTGGCCTACCTCAACGACTGGCTGGTGTGGGCTCCCAGTCGGTCTGCTTGTCTGCTCGCCAGGGGTGTGGTTCTTTCCAGATCACCGGGTTTGGTTTCCTGGTGATTTGGAGGTCGCTCCATTTGTTTCCGTCCCGGGTTCAGACCTGGCTGGGTTTTGTTTAGGGCTCTTGGGCCACTCCTTGTCTTTCCCTCCAGAAGTATTGATGCGGCTGTGGTCCCGGCTTCAGCTGTTCATGAGGGCGGTCCCAGGTTGCTCAGCAGTTGCTCGAGTAGTTGTGCGGGAGTCTAAACTTCGACATGCTGGTCTGCCCGCAGGGTTGGGTTTGGCTTTGGCGTCTGTTTGGTTCCTTCGAAGACTCCTCTTCTGCCTCTTGCAATCGTTGGGTTCGTTTCTCTGTGGATCTTGTGTTGGTGTTGCGTCACCAGCTTCCTCTTTGGGGTTTTCGGGGTTCCGTGCCTTGGCACCTCCCCGAGCCGTCACTGGATGTGTTCACAGACGGGTCATCTCTCGGCTGTGCTTTGTGACCAGTGCTCACCAGGTCGGCCGGGGATGGTAGGGTCTGTCCGTCCGTCGGACTAATAGCACGGTTTGGGAGTTCGTGGCTGTCTAGTGTGCGCTTTGGAGGGTTTGGGTCACTCGGTGCTCTGCCATTCAGCCCCATTCAGACTGTTCTCTGGCGGTTCTTTACCGGAACCACAGGGTTTCTCTTAGGTGTTTGTCCTTTAGGGTTGGTCCCTTAGTGTGGCTCGTTTGCTGGATTCTCGGGGTTTGGCTAACCGTGAGGTTCATGTCCGGGGTGTGTCCTGCGTCCTAGCGGACAGCTGTCTCGGTTCATTCCTCTGTTCACGGATTGGCCGGTCGTTGCCAACTCGTTTCGTTGGCTCTGCCAGACGTATGGCCTCCTGGCCATGGACGTCTTCGAGTCAGCATGGTCTAGGCGTCGCCCATTTTATGTGGCGCCCTTACCCACCTGCGAGGCGTTCACAGTGGATGCCCTTCAGCAGGACTGGTCGAAGTGCGGGTACCTGTTCCTCTTCTCCCGGTCCAGCTGTTGCTTCGGGTTCTGGCTCGGTTGGAGCCCATTCCCACGAGAGCAGTCCTTATGGTTCCTTGGTGGCCAGCCCAGCTTCTTTTCAGACGCTGCTTGTTAGGTGTCCAAACCCGGGGCGTTTCCCCGCGGGTTCGCCTCTTTCGGCAGGTCGGACCGGTCCTGTACGTGACTGCTTCGGCCTTCTCCTTGGCTCTTCCCGTCTGGTATTTTGACGCAGGTATCACCATCTCTGTGGTGATCAGGTGGCTTTGTTGATGGTGTCCCACCTGCGAGCTTCGTCTTGGCGACAGTATGACGTTCCTGGTGTTTCTATGCACTTTTTCTTGCTCTTCGTAGGTTGTCTTCTCTTTCACATCGGGTTGGCATATCCTTTCTTTGGTTTTCAGGACTAGTTTTGATGTTTCTTACTGTCGCCTCGTTTTGTGCGGCGCTGGCGGAGCCGCTCCGGCTTGCGTTCAGGGTGGACGTCACATCTGCCCCATTTCGTATGCTTTCTTGTGTTTTGTTTCACCTCCGGCCTGCTCATGCATTGCCTGAGCCGTCCTGGTCCTTGATCAGGGTGCCTTCTTATCTTTTCCTCCGTTTTTGGTAGCCCCTTCGGTTCAGGTTTCTGCTCTTTGGTACTGGTGGTGTGTTTGTATGTTTGCAGCCTTTCTTCGTCCTGGCTACGGTCGAGACGGTTGCTTTCTGGAGGGGTTCTTGGGTTATTGATGCTTGATTGGTTTGGCCGGGGTGCGTCCTGTATTGTCTGGTTGCGCTTTTTGCCGTTACCTGCGTACTGTGTCTTGTACTGTGTGTCACAGTACTGCGTACTGTGGGTTGATCTGGTTCCCCTCGTTCCTTGTTTCAGGGCTCGGGTCTCCCAGGTCGTCCGCAGAGTTTTTAAGTCTTCCAGCCTGCGGTCTGTCCTTGTGCCTGTGCTGTTCAGACACTTGCAGCTTTTGCTGCTGTGTTGGCGACGTCTAGGGCTCATTTCCGGCGCAGGGATTTGTGGGTCGCACAGGTTCTTGGCTGCCCATTCTTTATGTGCGTCTGCTCCAGTGCGTTTTTGTTGCCTTGGGTTGCAGGTTGCATCCTGTTGTCTCGGCTTTGCGTTGCGGAGTTTGTGGCGGCCGCCTCCCGGGTCAGCACTTTCTTTTCCTTCTCTTTGGGTATGAAGCTCCAGGGAGCCGTAGGGGCTCCCACAGAAAACCAGCATTGAATGTAATGAAACGAAACGCCATTTTCTGGGTGAGCCCCAGAGGCTCCCTGGCAACCCTCCCTCCTACCAGTCGGCATTTTTTTCGCGTTTCGAACTGGTGCTAGGCAGCTGGTGTGGTAGGTCTGGGGCTCCCCCTCCCCCTCTTGTGGCGGGGAGGGCTGCGCAGACAATCGGCACGGCAGTAAAGTGTGATGTTTGCTTGTTTCCTTGGGATTGTAGGGTGTTTCTATCTCTCTGTTCAGTTTTTTGTTTTAGTTTTTACCATGTGGGGTTTGTTTTGCTATGATTACCTTTCTGGAATCACAAGGGGGTTTTCCACGGCCATTGCTCCCTGAAACCTCTCTGAAGGGGGCCAGGTTCTGGCGCTGGTCCCTGGTAGGTCTGAACTCCTTAGCTAATGTCCCGGTCTAATATAACATACATTAGCCCGATAAGCTCCAGGGAGCCTCCGGGGCTCACCCAGAAAATGGCGTTTCATTACATTCAACGCTGGTTAATTTACCATTACATTTGTGGCTCCTTGGAACTTAGTTGTAAGATGTTGGGATTTGTGGTTGTGCACGGGGCTTGTCTAGTTCATGATCCGATCAATAGATCTAGTGGGATCTTGTCTTAGCACCCAAGTTACCTCCTTTGAAACTAGTTTTTTATATTAATTCAAAGCTTTATTTATTTTAGGATACAAGATGATGAGGGGTCGCATAGGTTGCTGTTAGATTCAGAGTGTCCCAGCCCTCAGCCTTCTCCTCAGCCAGATACTTGCTTTGCTGTGTCTCATCCTCTGGCTGCTGTAACTTTCAGTACAGGTGAGTCACTCTCATGTAATTATTATTGCCCATGTGGAACTAATGCAGCTTTATCACACATGATCATCCATGAATATGTTTTCTGAGGGGAAGCCCCCTTGTGGCTCCCTGAAGCTATACACTGAGGGAGCTCCCATCTACTTGGCTGCATCAGCTGTGGAGTTCTATAGGCCTACCAGGGACCAGAGCCAGATCCTGGAGCCCCTCACAGAGGCATAGGGAGCATTGATGTTTCACTAGCTCACCTTTTCTCAAACAGAAAATTAGTAAGTCAAACGCCAGTCAGCATTGCTTTTCCTGCCTCTAGTGGCCTTGACTCGGCTGCAGGGCCGCCGTCTGTTCGTGATGAGTAAGCTTTGGGTGACTCGGTGGTTTCTCAAGCAGTTGTATGGGAGCCTAAACTTTGCCTGCATAGTTTATCTACTGGGCAAGGTGTGGCTTTGGTGGCTGTTTTGGTATCTTTGGTTCAGTCCCTTTAGCTATCGCTGTAATTGTTGAGTGTGGGCCCCGTTGGCTCTTTGCTTGCTGCTGTGTCTCCTTCCTCTTCGGGCATTTCGGGGTTCGGTTCCCTGGTGCCATCCTCCATCTTTGCTCAGCGTCTTCATGTATGTCATGACTCTGGGTTGGGGGCTTTGTGATCAAGCTGGCCATAGTAATTTGTCTCCTCTTCTTTGTCAGACTCACAGTACAGTTTGAGAGCTTGTGGCCGTGTGGCATGTGCTGTGGATTGTTTGTATTCCTCTGGGCTCCGTGCTCCTGCTCCATTTGGACTGTTCCCCATGGTTCATTATCTTAACCAGGGAAGGGGAGGTTAACTTTGGTCCCTTGCTCTTTGGAGCTGGATGTTTCGAGTAGCTCTTCCTCTAGGTTTTCCGTGTTTAGGTCTCCGCACTGTTCATGTTAAGGGGGTGTCCAACATTCTCAATGATGGTCTGTCCCATTTCCACGGAGTGAACCATCGATGCTGCCTCCTTCCTGTGGTTTTGCATGATGTATGGGTTCCAGAGGTAGACCACTTTCACCGAATTCATTAAAATTCATCGAATTTTAGATCGAATTCAAAAGGTGACACCCCTAGTGTCAACACCTGCATCAGAGGAGCTCCATAATATTTCATAATTCCTAAGTATTGTAGTACAGGTTGATGATAGTGAGTGGTGTCCCAAGGAACATAAAGGTGTAGTGCTTTGGTAAAATAGGTGAGAAAACACGAATGTGCCAAATGAAGTAAAAAATTGGATGAGAAAAATTTGCCCTAGTGTTCACAGAGCAGACAACAACATTTAAGATGGTCATTGAATGGCCATGGCAAGATGAAAAATTTCCTAACTGATAGAAAAATGAGGGCCGTAATCAGAGGCAATGTATCGAACTGGAGGAATGTCACAAGTGGAGTACCACAGGGTTCAGTTCTTGCACCGGTAATGTACATTGTCTACATAAAAGATCTACCAGATGGAATACAGAATTATATGAACATGTTTGCTGATGATGCTAAGATAATAGGGAAGATAAGAAACCTAGATGATTGTCATGCCCTTCAAGAAGACCTGGACAAAATAAATATATGGAGCACCACTTGGCAAATGGAATTTAATGTGAATAAATGCCATGTTATAGAATGCTGAACTGGAGAACATAGACTCCACACAACCTATATATTATGTAACCACTCCTAGATCTCTTTCTTTATCAGAATTCTTTAAAGATTTCTCACATAATATATAGGTTGTGTGGGGTCTATGTTCTCCTATTCCACATTCCATAACATGACATTTATTAACATTAAATTCCATTTGCCAAGTGGTGCTCCATATACTTATTTTGTCCAGGTCTTTTTGAAGGGCATGACAGTCATCTAAATTTCTTATCCTTCCTATTATCTTAGCATCATCAGCAAACATGTTCATATAATTCTGTATACCAACTGGTAGATCATTTATGTACACAATAAACATCACTGGTGCAAGAACTGAACCCTGTGGTATTCCACTTGTGACATTTCTCCATTCTGATACATTGCCTCTGATTACTGCCCTCATTTTTCTATCAGTCAGAAATTTTTCATCCATGATAGAAGCTTACCTGTCACCCCTCCAATATTTTCCAGTTTCCAGAATAACCTCTTATGTGGAACTCTGCCGAAAGCCTTTTTTAGGTCCAGATAGATGCAGTCAACCCAACCATCTCTTTCCTGTAATATCTCTGTGGCTCGATCATAGAAACTGAGTAAATTCGATACACAGGATCTTCCAGATCGAAAAACCATACTGTCTGTCTGATATTATATCATTTCTCTCTAGGTGTTCTACCCATTTAGTTTTGATTAGTTTTTCCAATACTTTCACTATTACACTTGTCAATGATACAGGTCTATAATTGAGGGGGTCTTCCCTGCTGCCACTTTTGTAGATTGGAACTATGTTAGCCTGTTTCCACCCATCTGCTACGATTCCTGTACACAGGGATGCCTGAAAGATCAGGTGAAGTGGAATGCTGAGCTCAGATGCACATTCTCTCAGAACCCATGGTGAAACGCCATCTGGGCCAGCTGCTTTGTTCTTACCGAGCTCCTTGAGCATTTTTTCCACTTCGTCTCTAGACACCTCTATGTGTTCTATGTTGTTCTCTGGAATTCTTATTGTATCTGGTTCCCTAAAGATTTCATTTTGTACAAACACACTTTGGAACTTTTCGTTTAGTGTTTCACACATTTCCTTTTCATCTTCTGTGAATCTATTTCCCATTTTCAACCTCTGAATATTATCCTTTACCTGCAATTTGTTGTTTATGAATTTATAGAATAGACCTGGTTCTGTTTTACATTGTCCGCAATCCCTTTTTCAAAATTTCTTTCTGCCTCTCTCCTCACTGCCGTGTAGTTGTTTCTCGCATCTTTGTATCGCTGGTATGTTTGGGGGTTCGGCCTCTTCCTGTATTGATTCCATTTTTGTGTCTTTCGGTCTCTAGCCCTCTCGCAATTTCTATTGAACCAATCCTGTTTCCTAGTTCTGCATCTCTGTTTTGGTATAAATTTTTTTGTGCCTTTATCATATATTTCACAAAACTTGCCATACATCTCATTCACTTCCTTGCCTAGCATCAAGTCTGTCCAATTATACTCACTAAAAAATTTCTAAGGTCACCATAATGTCCTCTCCTGAAGTCTGGTTTTTCAACTGCTTCAACCTCCTTATTTTCTTCCAGCTTATAACGCATTGCATACTTTATTCCCAAAAAGACATGGTCACTTTTACCCAAGGGAGGAAGGTACTGAATGTCAAATATCTCTTCCTCCTTCCTGGTAAATATCAAATCTAGCATGGAGGGAACGTCCCCTTCCCTCATCCTCGTAGCTTGTTTAACATGTTGATACAAGAATGTTTCCAGGATGAGGTCTACAAATTTACAGGTCCAAAAATCTTCTGTTTTAGCTTCATATGCTTCCCAGTCTATGGATTTCAAGTTGAAGTCACCGACTATCAACAGTCGTGATCTATCGTTATCCGCTCTCGCTATAATCTCTTTCATTATTGTTATAAGACCTTCACGTTTACTATCTAGCTCCTCCTTTGACCATGTGCTGCTTGGCGGTGGACTATATGCATTTATCATCATTAGTTTATCATCCTCATAGCAGATCTCTAGTGCTATTATGTCAACTTCTTGTGGATTGGCAGTCATTATTTCCTTCACCTTTAGGTGTTCTTTTACCAGCACAGCAACGCCACCGCCTTTCCTAATTTTTCTGTCCCGTCTCCAATTGAGTAGCCCCTCGGGAATATGACCTCATTTAAAATTACATCTTCAAGTTTTGTCTCCGTGAGTGCAACAATGTCTGGTGTCTGCAGCTGTATTACATCACTTAACTCCAGTATCTTCGATCTCACTCCATCTATGTTGGTGTATGCAATCTTCAGGAACTTGTTCCCCCTCTCCTTATTCTTCACTCCCCCTCTCTCTATTGATTTTGTTGGTTTGCCTTTATGTACCACTTTACTGGTTTGCCTACCCCTATCACTTTGTAGAAAAAATAATTTATTTCTTCTTCATTCCTGCTCTCATTTAAATGTTTTGCCTCGGCGAGGTTCAGTTTCAGCTTCTCTCTATCTTCTTTTGAAAGATCTCGTCTTAATGACCACCCTTTCCCATCCTCATCCCTTTGCAATTTTCTAGCATTCCTTAGTACTTCTTCCATCTGTTTGGCACCGTTTAGGGTGATCCTCAAAGGTCGATCTTTCCCTTTTACGTACCTGCCTATTCTCCTGTAGTCGCACACATTCTCTCTGTTTGTAAGACCTTCCACGAGGCCAACAATTTTATCTACTACTTTAGCTTCTTCTACAGCTCTTTCTGACCTAGATGTTATCGCCTTTTCTTTGCAGCCAAAAATGATCAGGGACTTACTCCGATCAACTGTGTTTTGCACCAACTTCGGGTTAGATGCCAATTCTTTCCTCACTTCTAGCCTAATGTTTGTTTTATCTTGGTTGCTGCAGTGTTTGACTTCCTTTACTGCTTCTTCTATTTTTTCCTTCTCCTTGGCCACTTGTGCATAAGTGAGTTGCATATCTTTCTTGCACTGTTCTATTCCCTGTGTAACTTCCTCCATCTGTGCTGACAAAAGCTGTTTCTCCTGTTGAATTTCCTTGCCTAACCTATTGTAGTCATTTATGTTTAAATTTACTTTAACTTCTTCCAAAGCTATTTTTAAGAGTTTATTTTCTTCTTCCATGGCTTTGCAATTTGTTTCCAATGTGAGAAATCTTTAAAGAAGTCTGACAAAGAAAGAGATCTAGGGGTGGTTCAAGATAGAAAACTGTCACCTGAGGACCACATTAAGAACATTGTGCAAGGAGCCTATGCTACACTTTCTAACTTCAGAATTGCTTTTAAATACATGGATAGGGAAATATTAAAGAAATTGTTCACAACTTTTGTTAAACCAAAGCTGGAACATGCAGCGGTTGTGTGGTGCCCATATCTTAAGAAGCACAGCA